GCATCAGTAGAAATAGTGCCCAGATCCTGGGTCATAGTAGTCTTTTATGTGCTGTATTCTGTCCTCTACATTAAGAGAGCTTTGACAAGTTAATGTGCATCCATAAGACGGCAACCAGGTTAGTGGAGGAATTTAAATCATATTAGACAAGGAAAAAGTTTTTTGTCTTGTAGAGGAGAAAACAAAGAGGAGGGACTCCTGCCTTCAGAAATTTGAAGGGCTGTATGTGGAAGAGAATTAATTCAGCTAGAGGACAGAGCTGGAGTTGATGGCAGCTGGTCACAGAGCAATATGCTTCCATTTAGTTTAAGGAAAAGTGTAATTCAGTTTAAATGGCATCTGGATTTGCTACTATCTTATAATGGCCCCTGCTATTACATCACATGTTCAGCCAGAGGGTAGTTGAATATGTATTTGTATTTGAATAGTGCTTTTTAGTGTATCCTTCAAGTTTGTCCTTTGAAAAACTTGACATAGCAGGAAAATGGTATGTGTGCTCCCAGCTGTGTCATTGAAAGTGGTTTTCTTTAAGGTGTCTGTTAGACCCTGTGAGCTTCAGTTTTCTCAGTTTAATGAAACATTAGACTCGTGAACAACATCTGGGTTAGGGGTGCCAATCGTCATGAGGTTGAAAATCCATGTGTAATTTTTGACTGCTTAAACACTTAACTGCTAATACCCTGCTACTGACTGGAAGCCTTAATAATAACATAAATGGTCAAATTAACACATATTTTGTATACATATCATATACTGTTCTTACAATAAATTTAAATAGGGTTAATGTTTTTTCAAATTGTCACAAATCTCCAAAAATTTTTCTAATATATTTATTGAAAAAAAATCCATGTTTGTAAGTGGACCCATGCAGTTCAAACCTGTGTTGTCCAAGATTCAGCTGTACTTGATGATTGCAGAATAGCCGTTGGTATAGAGTACAGTCATGCCTCTTCCTGGGCTCCTGAAGTTTCTGTGAAGTCAGAACAGAGACTGTTGTCCCCATTTTAGAGGTTGGAGACCATGGCTCAGCTCAGTGAGAGAAAATGACACCCCCAAAAGGATGCAGTCAGAGCTTGCAAAACACCTCACTCTCCAGCATTTTTACTATTCCAGAATGCCTTCCTGACGTTCCTTTGAGCTTGAAATATTTAGGGCACCAATTATTTGTAATGAAGAATAGACTTTTTTCCTCATCAGTTCTTATAAGTTATTTAACTTTGCATGTATTATCTTCTGGGTGTTGTTTAGTAAGAAGATGGGATATGTAAAAGTCTGTTCTGTTTGTCTGCCTTCCCATCTCAAGGTGGGGGAATCCATGGATAGGGATTATTAGATATTATGGTAGTGGGAAATATAAGCATATATACTATAGTGATGTATGTGTGTGTGTATGTGTGTGTGTGTGTGTGCGTGTGTGCCTGTTGTGTGTTTTATAAGCACCAAAGCAAGCAAGAATTTTAGACAGAATCCTTGGAAAAATCAATAGGAAAAAACCCATACCCTTTGCTTAGAAACAATAAATCACTACGGTTTCCTAGGGATGATCCTTGCTGATTTTTGCAAGTGTGTCTCTCTGTGGTTTAAATCTGACAACAGTGTGCTGTCAGAACTGATTACTTGAGCACACTTGGTGTTTTGTGCTTCTAAAGATATCCTGAAGTCTGACTAATTAAACACTGAAGCCAGGGCATCTGGCCACACTTCAGTTAAAAGCAATTGCAGAAAGAATGCCTGTAGTTTAAATACAAAAAATATGATGACATTTTGTACTCTAAAGACATCCATATTCTAAATCTTAGTGCTTAAAACTACTTACTCTGAAAAGCTTCCTTGAAAGACAGAAAGAGAAATACATTTTCTTTAATATATAAATCATACAACATAACATACTATGACTTCTCATTAAGTACATTATTGTATATTTTTTGTAACTGGCTGTATTTCACTGCCATTAAATTTTACCATATGTTAAATAAAATTCTGTTGGTTACATTTTGCCATGTCTGGGGACAAATCTGGCTGATTATTTTGCCCTTGGAACCTTGATGGCCTATATGTAGTGAGTGAAAAATTCCTCCGGCGTTCAAAATAATTTAATTGAAGGAACATAATAGAATAAGTAACATTGTAGACCCTTTTCCTATGAAAATTAACCATCCACATAATAAATAAGCTTCTCTGTGTATAGTTGTTCCAGTTAAACAACAAAAATGTTTAAATTTAAGGAAAGAAAAATTGTATCACTAACCTATTTCCAATTTTTTTTCTTTCATTTACATGTTCGGATTTTCTCTTACTGAGGTGTATCTTTTTGTGATTTCCTCCATCCTTTACTAGGTGGGAAGATAGAATCAACTGTGACTCATATTCAATTCTGCTACTCTTTAGTCTGGAAAAAGGGACAGATCCATGGTAGCCCATTCTCTTGGATGCTTGAAATGATGGTAGCATTAACAGAGACTGGAACTCACCAAGTTCCTTCACAGTGATAATTCTCATTTAATATAAAGTGGCAAAGTCTTAGGGATATGAGTGTCTATATCAAAGCATGAAGGTTTTCGTTTTTCACGTAAGCATTTCTTTCCTACTTCAGCATTTCTTTCCTACTTCCTTTTTTTGTGTAGCTGGCTTAGGAAGCAAGTCAGAATTCGGAACTAAGTTGGTTTTTACTGCAAGATGAGAATGTGGCCTTCATTACAGACCCCAGGTATGATGTGTAAGGAGAGCCTCAGGAGGGCAGTAACCAATACACTTCACTGCCATGAATATTCAAATAAAAGAAGGTGGTATTTGGAAGACTGATTTTGACAGGAAAAAAATATACTTTGGCTGCAAAGGTTAGTTAGATGCTGTAATAGGATACTCAGAGGAATTTTGAAGCTTCTTTATTTGTTAGACTTAAAAATTGTTCAGTTTATTTTCTCAGGGTTCAGTATCAAATTAAAATATGTAAGTGGAGCCTTTAATAATAGCCATCTGTCTGGAGATTTTTTGATTTGGTTTCTCTGGAAAGATAGATTAAATTATCTTTGGATTGTCTCTTTTAGATATTTCAGTGAGGAGAATGCTGTGGCTAGGGTAGGAAAATAAAAGTTGTGTGAGCAGATAATCAAACAGCTAAAGTGAAGTGTTGAAGACCAGGATGGTGGAATGAGGAGATGACCAGCCGCTTGGAAGTTTTGAAAGATGGAGAAAGCAGGTAGCCCATTAAGACTGTGTAGGAACTTAGAGTCATACAATGGGCAGTGGCTCCGTTAGTGAACAAAAAATCTTATTTCAGGATGAATGTATAGGCAACCATAGTACATAACTGCCTGTGAAATGTTGTTTTGAGAATATGAATAATAGTAAATCAGTATAAAAATGTTGGTTATTGAAAATAGCAGAGTTTGGAGGAATTTTAATATAAAATTAAATTGTATGTGTCTCTTAAGCCAGAATATGGAGTGAGAAGGTATAGACAACCAGAAAGTGCATACATCTAGTGGATGTGAAATGAATCACTAATACTGAATAATTGAACATAGTTGGAGTCAAAGGGCCTGGGAAACTGCTGAAAATACGTAGAGAAAAAACAATGCCCTTGGTAAAATGTGCTTACTATAATAAGTCACAGAGAAATATTTGCTATGTTTCTCATCTTTGAAGAAAGAATTCCAAATGTCAAAACATCTGATATTTATTGTACTTAATACTGGGTAACAAGTGTATGACTAAGAAGGGCCATTATCTAGTTTTTGTAAGTGGTGCTATCCTCTCAAACTGAGAGATGCCTTGGGCAAATGCATTGGTGTTTCCCTCCATAAATTTAGTTTGATTGTGTGGATTTCAACAGCAGTGTAGATTTTAAATTTAAGTTCTGAGAAGATTTTTCTTTGAAGTACCTAATGGCATTGCTACCCATTCTTAATTTAGCTGTTTATCAACATAAATAGTTTTGTTCCAAAACTTTATACCCAAATGTTCAAAATTATTATTGTTGCTACTTAAAGAAAGGTGAACTGGTGTTCTCTTTTAAAAGAAGTGTAGAGGTTCCTTTCTGTCTATTATAGCAATATTGATGGACATTTCTGGCATTACCCAGCAGACAGTGAGGGTTCTGAATTGAGGAGTAAGCAGGAAGGTAGGACAATTTTAGGTTGTCTCCCAAAGCAGATCTTCTCACTATATTTAGTGAGAAATTACAAAATTATCATAGCTTTACACCTAAACATATGAGGTGTATTATTGAACATTAAGTTCCTACTACCCAGTGAAGGTCGGACCTTTCATTAGAAAGATTTTTTAATGATTATTGAGGATCACTGGGCATTTAAGAAAAGGAGTTATTTGAGAAACATGGCAGATTGGCCCCTTCCCTCCAACTGAGTGTTGAGTAGGTCTGCCCAGGAAATCTTATGGCATGAAACAAAAAGCTCTCTCGGGTGACAAAAAGAGTCGTTCGGTACTTGTCCGGTATTTTTTTGAAAGTGGAACTTGTTTTACTCATCCACTAGTTAAAAATGTGAAATGGTGACCCAGTGAATGTCAGATTCCATTGGTAATGTTCTCCTCATAGGAAAAGAATTCAGTAAGCAGGTGAAGAGAGAAATAATTGAAAGGACTGCCCTATCTCGACCCGTATCAACTGGGAACCTACCCTCTTCTGTGGAAAAAAGGGGATGGATTGCCATTATGGTTATCCCCGGGACAACTGCAGTTGCAACATATATGTTAAAATATATCTACAAAGAAATAATTTTGACCAGAAAAGAGCTATCAATACAGAATGTTTCTGAGAGTTGACTGCAATCATGAGTCATCTAGGCATCTGCCAAATGAAGTAGTAGGCTCTATGTGTATATATGTTAAAGGGGAAGAATAGGTGTTAATCCAGCATCTCTTCAACATCTATCAATAAGAAAGATACATACTTATGAAAAATATTATATATTACCTTGATATATTTAGTAGGCGAATACTGACTTCAAGTATAGACTTAGGAACTTTTTGTGTTTCAGGTTCGTGGGAGTAAGGGAGAAGTTCTATACATTTTGGATGCTACCAACCCACGACACTCCAACTGGCTTCGCTTTGTTCATGAGGCACCATCTCAGGAGCAGAAGAACTTGGCTGCCATTCAAGTGAGCTTATTTGCTTCTTATTTGTTTTATGCGCACTGTGAGGGGAATGAACTGATTTATAATTGTACTCCCTGTTTTAAATGTCCTTCTCAATGACCTGCTTCAAATAGCAGTAACTAACTCATAAAAGCAAAGAAAGCTCATCTACTCACTATATGCAGGAAAGGGCAAGCCTAGATGTAAATTGACACCAGATCACTCACTTTATGAGAATTCTTGAGGGAATGAATTACATGGTCTGATATTGTCCTTGGCAGATCTTGCTTTCAAGTATTTTTAATTCATTCAGTGAATGTTTATTGATAGTTTTTTTACTTGATGGCTTATTTGGCTCACGGCAAAATATTCTGTGTTATTATTTGGGAAAGATTTCATGGAGAAAATTTACTGGATATATCCCCATGAATAGACTTTGAGCTTCTTCAGGGTAGTGTATTAGTCAGGGTTCTCCAGAGAAACAGAACCAATAGGATCTATAGATCTGTGTGTGTGTGTGTCTGTGTGTGTGTGTGTGTATAGAAAGAGAGACATTCACAGATTTATTATAAGGAATTGGCTTATGTGGTTATAGAGGCTGGCAAGTCCAAAGTTTGCAGAACCATTGTCCCACTTTGAGACCAGAGGCCACAGGCTGCTGTAGAAAAAGAACTGATGTTCTAGTTTGAGTCTGAGACTACAGGCTGCTGTAAAACCAGAAAAAGGTTATGTCCTAATTCAAAGCTGTTAGGACTAGAAGAGCAGATGTTCCAGTTTGAAGTCTATCAAGCAGGAGAATCCTCTCTTACTCAGGGAGGGTCACTCTTTCATTCTATTCAGTCCTTCAGCTGCTTGGATGAGACCTACCACATTGTGGAGGGCAAATCGCTTTACTTATTCCATCTAGTTAAATATTAATCTCAGGTAAAAACACTCTCACAGAAACACCCAAATTAACATTTGAACAAGAATCTATCTGGGTACCCCTTGGTCCAGTCAAGCTGACACAAAAGGTTACCATCCCAGGCAGGAATCATGTTTTATTACATTGTTTCTTTGTATTTTAACATAGTGCTGCATGTAACACTAGGCTCTGATATAAACTATGAGTTGAATTTAAGTGGTTCCTCAGTGGAAATTAAGGCAAAAAGAGAAAAAGTTAAGAGAAGTTTTTAGAGGGGCCCTGTAATTAAAATTCATTGATCAGATGATTAAGAGAATAAAGAAACATTAGGTTCTGTTGGGGAATTGACTGATCACACAGGAATACCCAGGTCCTGGATCTAAATTGCAGAAGAGGAAGCAAGGCTGTGGTTGGGAAGAGAAAAGTGTAAGAGATTAACATTTCTTTGATTATTTACCAGGTGCACTATTCTGTAAGCTTCATATGTATCATGTCATTTATTTTTAAAAACTCCTGAGAGTTTAATACTTTTTTGAGAATTTTGCTTTCACTCAGTTTTGAGTATGAAATTGACAGAGGCAAGTGGGAAAATGCAGTGTTAGGTTTTAAAGTAACCAGAAAAAAACCAGCCATCTAGATGTTCTATTTCCTGATGTTAGCTAACCAAATTTTTTTCAGTACAAATAAATATTGCATAACCAATGTGGTTACTGTCTTTTTTGTATGGATAAATGAGAGACAACTCTTAGCAAAAGGCTGGGTTGGGATAGAAAATAGGATCTTTTGGAAGCTAGAGATATTCAAGCCTTGTTGTAGATTTTTCATGACATGCATTGATCTGACCACAAATTTAAACTGATCTCTTTTTTTAATGTAAACATTTTTCACGTGAACAATTTTTTTCAAGTATTGTGTGTTTTTCATTGTTTCCTGAGGCAAACTCATCTCACAGGATCCTCAGTTATGTCATAATTTTGATTTGCAGACTCAGTTTAAGTGTTTCTTTGTAAATGTTACCAATATCAAAAATGCCCATGGAGCCATGAAATTTACTTTAGGCAAACCCATTGTTTTGAAGGTTCTTCATTATGTCTTAGAGAATATTATTATATGTAAAGTAGATTCTTTTCTCCTTATGCTTATGTAATGATTTTAATCTTTCCTCACGGCCCTTTAATTTGAGAAAGTTCTTCCTGTTGGCTGTTATTTCTGTGGTATCAGTAGTTCTGTCCATTTGTCCAGACTTTCAAGGTATACATGCTTAGCTTTGAGTTTTGCCTTAGATGCTCCCAGGTAATTCTTAATAGTTCCGTTTAACTGCACATTTTTCTCATAACAAGCCCTTTAGTTAATGGAATATGATACCAGTGTTTATCTCTTTTACTACCTACATTTACTACTCTATACCCTATTTATTCATTTCATTGTATTTTAGCCACTTGCACTTCTCTATTAGTAACCAGAACAGCTAAGACTTACAACAGTTTTCACATTCATTCAGTGCACTCACTGCAGTACTTTTCTTCCTCTATATCAACTGTGTTTCTTTCCTTGAAAGAAAATAGGAATCTACAAAAGATGACTGTTTCAACTTTGGTACTGACTTAATAAGGGGGCTAAGGTGGGGCCAGATTAGAGTGGAACTCATTAAAGGCTCTGTGAAGTTTCACACTTGAACTCCATTAGAATCTGCTCAGAGGCCACTGTGAGAGTCCTTTGGTGGAAATGTGATGACAGTGCTTTTAATTCCTTTTAACACTATTTTGGCCTTTCCTAAGAGAAGTGTTGAGTACACTGTTACTGTGTTTCTTTCCATGGAGCACAGTATGGATCTTTGTAGCTCCCTTGAGATAGTGTCTTCTTACTTGAACAGTAGCCGGAGTAGCAGATTGCTCAGGAATCAAAATCACATCTGAGCTAGGGACAGAGTGCATGATGGTTAGGTCACATGGCTGACAGTGATATCAGTGTTCTGATCCATTGGGATAATCTTCTGAGGGTTGCATTCCAGAAACACTGAGTTGGTAAGAGAAGGTTGTAATGTTTCCTGTATAACGTTATGAATTACTTGCATTCAAAATTGCATCAGAAAATTGGGGTATTCAGGAAATTTTTTATTTGAGCTGTATGTCCCAGGAGTAGAGTAAATGAGAAACATTTGTGGCTATGTGGCTTGCTTGGTGGAAAACATCGATACTTGGTCCAATTTTTTTGAACAAGGGATTAAGAATTTGAGGTCTGTTTTGGCAGAAGATTGGAACTCCTTTTTGGAGACTCAGTTATACTTCTAGTTTTAGAATTTATTTGAGTTTGGAAAATTTGCTTTGGAAATGATGATTTAAGTATCTGAATTATTGAAGAAGGATCTCCTAAATAAACAAGTCTTCCCACATGCACACATTTTACAGTAATCAGTTCAACTTCATGTTCATACTTCTAAAAAACATTTCCAACTGAACCAGAAATTCTAAATGTGAAAGATGCAACTTAAAATAAACCAAAAATAATTATCAAGTTCCATAGGAAATGGTAATTCTTATTAAATGTTAATTTGTTGTACTAAAGGAAAAGTGTTTTGAAGGCTTTTAAAAATTTCTGATCTTTTGATAGCTAACTACTTGTTTAAAAAGAGAATTATGTCATTTAAAGTTGCAATTTTGAATTCTTTGGATGTTTCCGAGTTGGAGTGTTACATCTCATGTCCTAAGGACATATTTCCAGTCCTATTTTCTCTGGAATTTTTGCAATAAAGTATCAAAATTATGAAATGGTGGTTTGGTGTTCTAAGAGAAAGGAGCACATGGAAAAAGCTTTTGGATCTTGTACCTTATGAGGAGTGTCTGGAGGTGGGGATGGTCTAAATAAGTTGAGAGGGCAATGGGCATTGAGCTGAGCTTGTGATATCAGCACAGCTCTGCCCCAATTCTGAGTCAGTTGGGTTTCCCCATTACCAGGGAAGATAGATTATTACATATCATTTGCTCTCCTACCTCTGTCTTGTGTGAAGATGGAAAGTATTAGACAGTTTATCCTCGAGTCTTTTTGGGTGACACAGGAGATTTCTGTATGGCAAAGCTGGGAGGTCAAATGTGGATCTCCAAAGAGAACAACAACTTGAATGTTTTTATAGCTCAGACAGGATACCTCCATTGTCATCAAGCCACCAAGATCCTCAGACATTTCAAATTGTGTTGCTGCAGAATTCAAATATCAGTGATACCAGCCAAGTAACCAGCAAAAGAAATATCAAAAATGTTTTTCACTTATACCCAAAATTATAGATATTTCCTCTAATTCTGTTTCTTTTCTATTTCTCTGTCTTACTATCAGTTTTATAAAATGGTATTTCTACATTATTTTACTGAATCTATTACAGAATAGTAAGGTGTAACTGTTTAATGATTTTCTTCAATCATATTATTAAAAAATATCAGTTAACTAACTTGTAGAACTTTTAATGGATTATCTTCCAGTAAGGTACATATTTATCTTTTATTAGGGTTAAAAGTTTCAACTAAAGTAAAATTACAAGCAGTTGATCCTTTGAGGTTTTAAATACGAGCCCTGTTGTAGTGATGTGTTTCTGTGGGGAGTGGAGGACTTTATTACTTGTCGATTTATTATTTTCATTCAGATTATAGTTTATTGACAGGAGAATTAGTATTTATAGAAATATCCTTAAGTTATATATAGTGATAATCTTGGAATTTATAAGTTAATCCTTAATAATGATGATGATGATTATAGCAGCTAACTTACTGAATGCTCACTATGTGCCAGTAAGTGGTTATTCATATTATAACCTTACTACTTACTGTGACCTATGAGGAAGGTGCTGTGCTTGTCATCTTCCTTTGTTATATGAGGATCCTGATATGTAGAGCTAAAGTAGTTACTTAAACTGGCCTGAAGCCACACAGCCAGTGAGTGACTGGGTAGGATGTGAACCCAGTAGATCTGTCTTTCCTGTCCCCTCTCTTAACCTCTGTGCTCTAAGACCGTAGAGTTGAGATAGTTTATAAAATAGTTTTAAAAACCTTCCATGTTTCTGACCTTGCTATTTAGATATTTTTGAAACTTTTGAAATTTTACAAAAATTTAACTTTAAAAAATAAATGTA